TTGGTTACAACACTCTTGTGGCCAGAGCCGGCCCAAGCTACGGGCTTCCGGACCAGGCCAGGTTGGGCCGCACATGTGCCAGGCGGGGCCCAGGGGCATCGCACATGCGCCACACTCCCGGGGGCGGCACCGTGCTCTCGGGGCCCCGGGCACACGAATGGCTTGGGCCGGCCCTGCTTGTGGCCCACCAAGATTTCGGTGGGCCACTCATGCCCATTCATAGCCTAGGTTGCCTTTCACTGTTCTAGATGCTACTTTAATCCAAACAACACCTATATTTGTTCTTTGCTTCTTCCAAAGGAAGAATGCATGCTGCATGTTAATAGCCTGGTACAGAATGCAAGTACAGCATTTCTGCAGCTTGACTCCAGCTTCTGACAAGGCTGCAGGAATTTCCAGGACTTGGCTGCATTTTGGCAATAACTCTTTGTCCTTGCATAGTCCTTAGTTTACTCTTCCTCCTCAGGGCTGTTGTTCTCTTATGGTAAAAGCTGCATTTTAACACAGACAGAGAAAGAACCCTGAATATGCTTTATGCATAGAACCACCCAGGAAAAGGAAATTGGTTTCTTGAGCTGTCATTTTGCAATTGCTGATTAATCACTAATGTTATCATAATTAACCAGAATTGGTTCTTGACCGGCATTGTCATGAGCCATGCACTGTCATTGGTTCCTTGTTACCCCCTGGATATAGCTAACATTGCAAGTTTATTGCATAGGTCCAGAGGAAGTTATCTAAGCACCAGATCTTGTAAAAAAAATGTGTGCAAGCATCCACCCATGTATCTCATTACAGGATCGGAGTGCAACTGCACCAAAGTAGTTTCTATACAGCTGTACTGGAGACAGAAGAAATGTTTCACCCATCCAGCAGCCAGAAAACTAGTTGGTGGAGTCTCCCATCCAATGGCTGAATGTTACACTTGAGAGCATTCTATTAAAAAAAAAACTGCACACAATATTTTAAAATTCTGCAAATTTGATTTGACAAATAAATGTGGAGGCTCCAGCAAAGAACTGGGGAGCACAGGCTACTGGCTGCGTGGAGGTGAGAGATCAGTCTGCAGCCCCCACCCCACCGCACAGACTCAGCAGTGAGGATGCATCCAACCCTGGTACAGTGCAAAGACTGGGCCTGTCTCAGAAATGCCCCAAGACCCTGCCCCTCCATGCCTGGTCTGCCAGGTATGGGCAGGAAAGCTCAGCAAAACAGGATCCAAATGTGGAGGGGCTTAGTGTGAGGGGAAATCTAGGCTTGGGTTAAGAGGTTTCTGGGCAGAGCATTTTGGGTGTGGGCAGCTCAGGGAGGATCTGGGTGTGGGGGGATCTGGATGCACAGGGGGGTTTCAGGTGCAACAGTAATGAGGCTCTGCAGGGGGTCCAGGTAACGGTAGTTGGGACTCAGCGAGGGAGGTGGGGAGGGGCGCGGGGGAGGAACAGAGTTCATCAGGGGGTTTTGGTGTGGAGTTTTAGTGGTGGGGATTCAGATGCTGGGGGGAATTGGACTCCATCTGGTGGGAATCCACATGCAACTGGTTAGGGCTCAGTGGGGTGGGGATTCAGGTTAGGGCTCGTTGGGTGATCCGGATGCTGGGGTAGCAGGGTTC